GCCTCGCTAGTAGTAACAGGTGCCTTACTAGTAGTAACAAGAAGCTATTAGTAACAAGTGCCTCGCTAGTAGTAACAGGTGCCTTACTAGTAGAAACAAGAGACATTTGCAGTTCAGCGGCTCCGGCTGCACCATGCTGTACCCACCAGCCTCCGACACTTCGTTCGGCCTCGGATGACCAGGTGTTTCCACGCCTTTCTCTACTCTAATAGCGATGCACTTGTTCCTAGTAGCGATCTTGTTACTACTAGTAAGGCACCTGTTACTACTAGCGTGGCACTTGTTACTAATAGCTTTTTGTTACTCTACTGAGGCAAGGTGTAGCGATGTCAAATTCAGAGCTAGCGTCAGTCGGTCAGTCAAGCGTCCAGCATTCTCTATAAATCCGTTAGCCGGCGCTCGGAACTCCAGAATTCCACAACAAAGGGCATCGCTACCAGTAGCAAAGGGCATCGCTACGAGGAGCAAGGACGCTACTAGGGGCTCCTGGCCTTACTACTAGGAGCAAGAACACTACTATAGTAACAAGAAGCTACTAGTAGCAAAGGGCATTACCACTAGGAGCAAGAACGCTACTAGTAGCTCCTGGCCATGCTACTAGGAGCAAATAGCTAGCAGCAACAAGAAGCTACCAGAATTCCACAAATCAGCAACTTGCCTGTGTTCTGGCTGCCGGCGTCATTAGTGACCCCAGCGTTTTGGAATGACGCCTGCGACTTCTAGCATCTTTCTGCACTTGACCCAGAATTGGTCTTGGGAGGGGTGGGGTGGGATGGGCAGATCATTTGCGTTCCGAACCGCAAAGTGTTGGGCTGACAGGATGCGCTCTGACCCCCTGAAAGTGTTTTCTTTGTTTGGGTGGTTCTGCTTCGGTTGGTCAAGACACCCTGTCCTCATCCTGAGTTGAGACTTTGGTTTTCTGTGCACATTGAATACGTAGACTCCCTGATATCTTTAGCGATATGGACCAGGTGCAGTCTTGAGCGGTTTGTGTTGGACACGGTTCTAGACCCAGATCGTTGGACGTCGTCGTGTGGAGTGTTGATGGATGCGTGGACACGCTAGCCGCTCACAAATCACCTGAAGCAGCATAAACCCAATAGCATCCGCGCCAAATGTGCAAATGGCTTGAATCCACACATTATGAAGTATGTGTGGAGCTTTCAGTTTCGAAGAAACTGTGGGAAAAACTTGTGGAAGAGTATGGTCACAAAATGCTTCAAATGTTGAGGACGCCTGTTCGCTGAGCTGCCAAAAAGACGAGAGGGACAACATTTTGAGACATGGAAACTGTGATTACACTGGTTTGCACAAACAATGTTGCCTGGAGTGGTGAAAACAATACCAAAAAAAGGCATGCACAAGAATGCAAACCTGCATTTTGTGGGGAAATCTACCTGACGGCACTGTGCAGGGTCCTTAACAACGCCGGCACCTTGTTCTGCACAAATATTGCTTGACTGGTCGCAGGGCCCAACTAGCTGTCGAGAGACGTGCTGGCAGCTGTGCTCAGCTCATCCAGAGACTCCTCACTTCGAGCTATCGAAAAAGCATGTCCATGATTCTTGTCCTCCCACACTTGCTTTCTCTTTGTCTCACTCTCCCTCCCCCGCTCCCTCCCCCTCTCCCTCCCTCTCCCTCCCTCCCTCCCTCTCACAGCCCGTCCTGGTCTGATGTGTCTTCCTGGTAAGCCTCAGGTCAAGTGCACCAAGCTGCAATGCAATGCGAGAATTATTTTCAAGTGATACTTCCATGACTGGGAAGCCAAATCATGCCATAAAACGGTCCCAAAACCATGAAGCCCCTGGTTCTGCATGCCGGTTCCTCAAAACGAATCATTTGGCAATGTTCAGATTCCGCCGTCATTTCTACCTTCTATAGCATCATCAACCCTCATGAGGGGCAGCGGAGCTCAAAATTGAAAGGAGTTAGCTTGTAGTCAGAAGTACTGCCATGTTGCTTGTACTTAGCTAGTGCGCTGTACAACAGCCTGCTGTTGCTGGCATGAAGTGTTGAGTAAAAAAACCTGTTTAAAGGCATCCTTGTTTGCAGTACACTCGCCAAAGATACCAAGCTGAAGCGAAAGCAGCAGCCGTAGCGGCCATGCTTGGAAGCTGGCCGACCTGGGATGCCACAAATTTTCCACTGGCAACTCTTCCAAGTTTGCACTATTAGGTTGGAGGCCATTACTACTAGTAGCTTCATGCTACTAGTAGTAATGGCCTCCAACCTAATAGCGATGGCCTCCAACCTAGAATGAAGCTTCTTGGTACTAGTATGGATGCCTACCTATCCCCACACCAAAATCACTGGGAGACGAGAAGACCAACGTTGGAGAGCATGTGAATCTGCATGCAATCCGTGTCCCCCTTCCCCTCAAGGAGGGCTGGATTGACCGCCTTGCTGATGTGGGGGTTCCCAACCAAGCGAGCATGACCATATTGCAAATCTTGGGATGGCCACAGGTCTCACAGGTGCCTGGATAGATGATAAGTCATCTGGACGTCCCACTCAGAGCTGCTGGATGTCCTACGCTGAGATCCCTCAAAATCCGATTCCGACGATCACGGCCAAGAAGCCTGTTGCCATCATGCGGGAGGGCTTCGCTGGCAAAGAGCTCCGAGGACAGGAAATGCCGTCAAAGCATCCGGCCGGTTCAAGCATGCTGGTTCACGAAAGGTCTGGTTTTGTACTGCAGCGTGATGCAGGGTGGCCACATGTTTGCTTTTGCCATCTTTTGCCACCCAGGCTGTGTTCCAACGGTGCTACACAAAAGATCATGACGGTATACAAGTTCAAAGCTTGAGACCCAAGGCCCAAAACCATGTTAGGCATTGCTTGTTTTGGGCATTTGGGAGGCCTATGCGCATGTTTCATGGGCGCAGCAAAATGCAGCTTGGCCCACAGATCGGCGCACAAGCATCTGTGGATTCAATTGAAGCGGAGAGATTTGTCGATAGAACGGAAGGATTGGGAATGTTCAAATCTGTTCACTCTGGCACGTCTGCATCAACAAGTGCTTACTTCCGAAGAATTTCCTCATGCACAACGCACATTGTGTTCAATCGTAGTGTAGTCATCTCTCAATATCAAACGACCAAACAATTATATAGGAAAGCTATGTGCAGCGTTAGTTTCTTTATACATACACACACATATATATATATATTAATATATATATATATATCAGGACCGGCAGTTTGACCTGAGCACATGGTGATCCGCCCCACTGAATTACAGATCTGAAAGAACCCATCGAGGAGCTGACCAGCTGGACCTGATGGGGCCCAAATGCCGCATCGCTACGAACGGAGCGATCGGACGCTACGAACGGGGCGCTCCTGGCCTTACTAGTAACAAGAAGCTACTAAGGTAGGTGACTTTACGATGGCCGATGGCCCTACATTGACTCATAGAGAAGATCATCCGTCTTCGGATATCTGCTGCAGACCCATACGCTTTGGGGCATCGATGTCACACGTGGGGCTTGGTGAACCAAAATTACATACTGTACATCTCCTTCAACTGCATTAGCAGAAAGCAAAGACGAGAGTCATGGCAATGAAGCACAGACGCGAAGTCCTCATGTTTGACATCAAAGCGAAGGAAGAAATGATATGTTTTCGTCCTTCTTACTGTGCCCCTGAGGCCCTGGCCAGCTCCAATTCGTCCAGGCCTACAATCTTGGGGGCATCCCATCAAACGTCCCATCGATTCAAACGCATACATGCATGCAATCCATTCGGCGACTGCCAACTGCCATCCACTGCCAACGTGTCAACACGTGTGTCCAGCATCACTCACGGACGGACATGGCCTGCCCATCGCCCATGGCAGCGAAAAAGGAATCTCAGCTTCAAGGCTTGGGGACTTGGTGAAGAGTCTGGAGATGTTTCAGGCACCCTGTGGCCTAAGCTGGGCCTGGTACGGTTAGGCCAGAGCAGGGCAGAAGGGCTTACAAAAAGCTGCTTTTACATGCTGCGCGTGAAATGAACCGGTAGCTGATCGTGTATTGAGCTGAGGTCCATGATTTCTTGGCTTTCGCAAATTTATCAATGTCCACTATGGCTGTGTCCCATCCAATCCCATGTTTCCAAGTGAAGCCACGCGCTGCATGCGTTTCTAAGTCCAATTCTCAACTTGCCAGATCCTACTCCGAAGCATGGCTCGAGAGCGTGCGGGGGCTCTTTTCTCCTCAGCTCCGCAAAGGTGAGGCCTCCACACGGGTGGAGGCCACGATCCGGCCGCAATTAGCTGCTACCCGGCTACCCATCGCCATCAGGAGCTATTCGCAGCGCATCAGGAGCCGACCGCAGGAACGCATCTCACAACCTTCTCAGTCCGGAAGTGGCGCACCATTCGTCAGGCATCTCCTGTCGGACCCACGTCGATTCCCGAAGAAGCAGCGTTACCAAGCCAAGACCGCTCCTGCAGATGAATAGCCTCGGCTCATTGAGTCAGAGCAGTGCCACAATGATATTGAAATAGTTCAGTAACATTAGACTACATTGGTGACTAATTACATGTTTCATGCTTAATCATGCTTCCAATGCAATTTTAAGTCGTCCAATGCTGAATATTGCCAATGCGTCCAGAGTCGCAAGGTGTAATCATGGAAGGCAATCTTTCCCACCTGGGGTTCGAGATGCCGTCGCTCTCCAGCTCAAGCCGCTCTGCCAAGTCAACAGCTCCTTGCCCGTTGTGGCCGCCGAAGATGTATAAATGCAGGTCTCGGCCACGGAGCTGGGAGGGTTGCCAACCTGATTGGCGCAGGGTCCAAAGCAAACGAATTCCTAAGCAGCTGGAAACAACCAGGTTCCCACGGTCCAACTAGCTTCACAATGTTCAAAACAGCTGGATGCAGCTGGAGTGAACCCAGAAACCATCCGAAATGGGAAACCACTGGAATTCCAAGCGACAAAGACTTACAGCTCCCAATCGTGCAGACGGCATATTCGTCAAGAGCTCCCAGAAGTATTCCGCCACGTCAAAGCGTTCGATGATGGCCAGCGCACGACCGCGCCCTGCATGGCCTCCGGCCACGTACACGGAGGACCGGGCGGCGGCGGCAAAGCATCCCAAGCGCGCCGTGGGCATGGGAGGCAGCCGCGACCAACGGACCGTCGCCGTCGCTCCGCCCTCGAGGACGTCGGCCGAGGCCAGGAAGTGACCGCTGCTACGGCCACCGGCCACGTAGACGCGGCCTTGCAAAGCGGTCGCTGCACAGGCATCCCGGCTACAAGGCATCTCAGTGAGGCTTTCCCAGCATAAATCCTCCAAAAAAAGGTTCGAAACCATCTCTATTAGGTTGGAGGCCATCGCTATTAGGTTGGAGGCCATTGGTAGGTCCATCTCTAGGTGACATGGAGAACCAAGCGGTCCAAAGACACATATGTCATGTCATGTTTCGATGTCCTAGCTTGGAAAATTTCCCCAACAGTCCTCAACATGGAGGCGCTCTGCCACAGACAAAGGAACGTCATGCTGACACCCGCCCAGCACGTACAGGTAGGATGCGCAACTTGCAACGGCACAGGCCTCTCGACATGTTGGCATGTCTGGCAAGGCTTCCCACCGCCCGGTCTCAACATCAAAGCGCTCAGCGGTTGGAAGGATATGGCCTTCCTGTTGCCCGCCGATCACGTACAGCCACCCCTTTAATGCAGCACCAGCGCACCATCGACGTTCCGTTGGCATAGGAGGCAGCAACTTCCAGGAATTGGTCTCCGGATTGTAATGCTGGGCGCTTGCAAGTTCAGTTGTTGCCAAGCATCCTCCCATCACATAGAACTGTGGAACAGCCTCTTCGTGCAAATTGGGAAGCAGTCCCCTCACACCTTGGCAACACAAGCAGAGTCGAACAGGAGTGACCGGCTTCGAGACCAGTTTCCACCGTTCCGAGTACCACTTTCGTTTGGTGCGCCAAAAGTAGTACTCGGAGTCTTTCCGGAAGCATCTTACCCCGATGAAAACTAGCATGGACCCTTTCGCGCACCCTCCACATAAAACATCATAAAACCACTGGCTTTGTTAGAGGAAAGACAGTCCTCTAAGACATTGCCAAGTGATTTCACTGCCCCGGGTCGTTCGTGTTTGGGATCTGTCAACGACCCAAGGGTCTTTTGCCACCGTTCTTCGCCACAGCAGCAAAGCACCGGGAGGTCTTTAAGCCCCAGAGCACACAGAGACCGCGCGCGAGCTCCGGCAGCGCGAGCAACGCGTGGAACGCTGCTGCCTCGGACGTCGCAAAAAAGAGGGCGTGTCCGTGGTGATGCGTGTCCTGCTCTGATCTTCGGGTCCCAGCTCTTCGTCTCCTTGTCTTGATTGAAGTGATGACCCCTAAAAGAAACATTTTATGGCCCGGACCCATGGGCATCATGAACCATGTCTCGACCTGGCGCCCACTCTGCGCCTGCAAGCGGGCCCGTCGGGCGGCCTCCTGCTCCAGGCATTCAGCCAAGTTCAAAGCTTCGAGACGCTCAGACCTCGCAGTGTCTCAGGGTCCGTAACGCAATATTCAGGTGCCATGTGCAAAAAATACTCTAGAACACATGTAAATGAAAATAATGATGAATCTCCTGCACTCGTGTCCAAGCTGGTATCTCAAAAAAGGTGTGAGGTTGCCATGCTCTGAGAAGGAAAACCGGTCTAAGCCAGGTGCAAATCATCTTCCTGCAGTGCCAGGGCCAATGGAAGGGCCACCGGCTCAGTTGCGCAGACCGCGCCCATGCAGAAAGCATTCGATCGTTCGCTCCGTGACAAGGGGGCCCTGGGCGACTGGCACCTGAAACCTACGAACGCGATGGCCTCAGCGATGGCCTCCAACCCAATAGCGATGTGTGTTTTGCATGCAAAGCCTCTTTGAATTTAGCTCTTTGAACCAAATTTCATGCCTATGTCTATGTGTCACGTGCACCATCCACTTCTGCCAGTGTCCAGATCTGTGTCAATGGAATTTCGACCAATTGCCTCTCCGCGGCGTGCACCCGCAGCGACGGCAGCGCGCTGCCGTTTCTTTTCACAACTCCTCAGACACCAATTCGGTGCCGAAAGAACATGGCTCGATCGCAGAGGCTCACTCTCGATCACGGCGTGCGCCAAGCATAGCATCCTTCCCTTTCAGCCCTTGGCCTCCAAGCGCCAAGGGATAACACACACAAACCCTCACCACAAGCGTCACAAGACTGTGTTTCTTGTGGTCAGCTACCATAGGCCTGCCATGGCCCGCACACAGAGCAAAGAAAAACACGTTTTATCCAAAGCATCACAAACAGTGACAGTCTCAAGGAGCACAGTTCCAGGTGGACGTGCACAAATGGATTCTGAAATTTCATGCAAGTAGTGATGACATCGATCAATATCTAATTGAACCTATTTGATAAATATATTCACAGCGACGGTCTACATTGGTGTCTTTGGCACGTCCACACACCTGTGCCGCTCGCCTGAGTGGTCACGTTTCGGACGTCGCCACCGCTACCGATGTCATACCGCAGCCGCGAGCCGTGGACGAAGTCCGGAAAACAACAAGTAGTTCAAAGGGCTCGATTCGCTATTACCCCAACCGGCACCTAGCAAAACATCCCTTGAAATACACCACACCCACATAGACCCCTGATAGCGGGTGTATAGGTTCAAAGGACACGGCATGGACGGCTTTCACCGCAGAACGCAACATCAGACCAGCCCACCAATTTCAGTAACATCTATCAGCTGACCACCACGCTTTGCAACAAAGCATGGACCAGCCAAAGCTGCCCGGACGACATTATGATCATTGCTGCACAACACGTTGTCAAACACACTATGATAGCATGCCACCCCTGGCATGACATGATGTCATCCCTCGCATGACATACCGTCACCCTGGCATCACATGATGTCACCCCTGGCATGACATGATGTCAATCCTGGCGTGACAATGATGTCAGCCCTGGAATGACAATGATATCATCCCTTTCAAAACATGATTCAGCCCCGGTATGATGTGATGTGATCCCTTGCAAGACACGATGCCACCATTGGCATGACATGATGTCATCGCTGCTATGCCATGCTGATATGTGATATGATGTCATCCCTGTTCTGATGTGACATCATCCCTGGCATGATGTCATCTCATCCCTGGCATGGCATGATGTCACATGGCCATGATGTCGTCCCTGCCATGCCATGACATCATCCCTGGGCTGAGATGATATCATCCCTGGCTTGGCCTGATACCATTCATGGATTCCTGGCATGGCATTGTGTCATCCCTGGCGTGACATGATGTCATCCAGGGCCTGACAACGATATCATCCCTGGAAAGACATGATTCAGCCCCGGTATGATGTGATGTCATCCCTTGCAGGACATGATGTCACCATTGGCATGACAATGACATGAAGTCCTCCCTGGCATGACATGATGCCGCCCCTGCCATACCATGATCCAAAACGAAAACGCCGATCCAGAATCATTGAGAAGTTACAACCCTTACAGTAGCCTGCAGCTAGCTGGGACGCACACACACTACTAAACTGCTAAACTGCTAGTCGCTATTAGGTTGGAGACCATCACTATGGATTCAATTGATGCGCTCCCCCCTCAGGCTCGTGGTCGCATGCGGGTTGATCAACTCATGAGCTGCCCCGAGCAACTTCCGCTGAGACGTCTCACGCTCTTCACTGAGACGGCACACACAAACAATGCGCAACTGCGGAGCTTCATACGGCTCGAAACTCAAAGGCCCTCGGATTGGTCTGGATTAACTTCAAAGTGCATCGCTACTAGTAACAAGTGCCTTACTAGTAGTAACAAGGACGCTAGTAGAAACAAGTGCATCGCTAGTAGTAACTAGTGCCTTACTACTGGATTCACATTCATTCCATAGAAGTGTTCGATGACGGACAATATAGGGAACCCCTTCTACTACTGCAATGGGACAATACATCCTCAGGCGTTGGGATAGAATATATGCGTTCATGGACGTCTTTGACGTCACACAAGCATACCGTTCGTGGTTCAGCTATCTGGTGAGCTGCTTTATGACCTCCTACTCTTGAATTGAAACCCCACCAACTGAAAAGGAATGCGCAAGTACACCAACCCATTATAATTCCACAGGTCAACTTCCTTGGACTCATAACATTGGTATTCTCTTTCTTTGAGGGGGTTCTTGCTTTCCAGTTGGCTGCAAACGTGGACCATGCACACCTGCAAGTTCAAACACAACATCCATCGCACGGGTGCACACGATTCTCCCGCAAAGTGAACCACCGGGCAGGATTGGAAACAATGTCACACGCCTGACGCGACCGGACGATTCTCTTTTGTTTTGTCTTTCTCCATTCTCTTTCTTCTCTTTCTGCTCGTTCTAGTCCTTCTTTTCTCTCTTTTCTCTCTTTTCTATGTTTTCTCTCTCTCTCTCTCTCTCAGTAAACGAGCGGTCGAGAAAACAACTCTCGCCTTACAGCCTTGTGCTCACAGTCCAGCTATTGGAATCTCCCATGGACTCAGCCGCGCGGGAAAGCTTCCAGACATCCGTTGATTCAGGTTCACGGCTGGAACACACAAAAGCATGCCATGGCGCAGCCATCTAAGCTCAAGGAGTCAAACAAAGATCCAACACAGGCTTCGGAAAACCCCGCAACATCCTGTTTTACCTCCCCGTCCAAGTCCTGACCGCATCGAACTTGTCAAGCGGCCCATGTTCTTGCACTTGAGACCCAAGTCTGCGATGGGCAAGCCTCGCAAAGTCATTTCCTCATCGACCTTCACCTGGCACGTTCATGTCTCACGGTTGTCTCACTGTTGTGTGTGTGTGTGTCGGCTACCCAGCCTGCATGTCAGCGAAGCTCGTAGTGAACAATTGATTTTCGGCCCTGGTCAGATTCACCGCCTGGTCTACCTGGCACGTTGCCGCAAGGCCATCTGTTAGCAGGACTCTTCGGGATAGCCTATATATATTGAAATGGCATCACAAACAGTCACAGGCACTTGCACAATCCTGCCACAAATGAAGGCTACAGCGGCTACAGGCTAATTACCCGTGTGCCTCGTAGAAAGTGAAGATTTCAATAACTTGCCTGTTGATCTTCACGGGCGTGTAGTGCATGTAATCAGCCGGCATGCCGGAGAAGTGTTCAATCATCTTCCGCATTGATGCCCGAATGTCAGGCATCAAAGGGGCAACAAAGTTCTCGTCTCTCGTTGTAAGCTTGCAAGCAAGGGTGCCGTCAAACGTGTTCGTGAATCCTGCGAGCAAGCAAACCCGCTTTCGTGGCAGGCATTGATCCTGCAAAAGAGCCTGCACCCGTCCAAAAAGCCCTCGAGTTGCCAGCTTCGCTTCTATGAAGGTCTCCCTTTTCACCAAACAGATGGGCCGGAAAAACTGGCCACTGTGAGCATGGGCGTTTCTGGTTGAGATCCGACAGTCGTCAAAAGCGACATTCGTTGTTTCCCAAACCAGAGTCAAACCAGAGGGCTCTCACGGCAGTGCTTTAAGGCCGGGTGTCTGATCGAGGCGACGCGCGCGCGGGCGAATTCGCCACTATCTACGGTGCCTTTCACCTCGAGATCTTCGTGGCATCAACGCATTTCGATGGCGTCCCTGCCGCGTTTGGGACCTCCAGGACAGGTCGGTCCCACTTGACCAACCCACAAACCGAGTCGTCTTCGATGTTTTTCGTTGCTTTGTCGATGTGTCTCGGAACAACACCCTGGAACGGAGACAGCTGAGACATCGGTTTGTGCTTCCAGACGGCTTCAAGACGGAGGTGCGCGGGTTGATCGGACACCGAGGTCCCTCCCTGAGCGTGCTTGCAATGAGGCTTGAAATAATTTCAGAAGAGCCATCCTCAGAGCCATCGACCCAGTGGGCTTCATCAAGCTGGAACCGATGCCGCTGGGACCGACGTTGTAACGCACCGACTGATGTTCCAGTTCCGTCTCTCCACTCGGCCTGGCTGGGCACACAGGGCCCCGCCCGCGCACGATCGGGAGCACAAAGAAAGAGTAGACGTCGGAACACATGCCAGAAAGAATGCCAGATAGAATGTCGGAATTTATGGCAGAAAGAATGTGAGATAAAATGTGGGACAACGTGGAAACACTTGTCAGCATAATGTCAGAACACATCGTGGAACACTTGTCAATCAAACGTCAGAACAGCTGTATGAACATATGCCAGAACTCACGCCACAACACATGTACGATCACTTGTCAAACAAATGTCAGAACTGATGTCCGAATACATGCCAGACACACGCCAGAACACGTATCACAGCGGTGACCGAAGGCATGTCAGACCACATGTCAAAGCAATGCCGGGCAAATGTCGGAACAAATGGCAGGCGTATGATGGCAGAAGGAGTGCCAGAAACATGACAGAACAAAAATCAGAACACCTATCAGAACACATGCCACATTTGATGCCAGACCACAGTCCAGAACATTTATGAACATTTAAGACAAATTAGCCAGAACACATGCCAGGCTTGATGCCAGAGCAAATGTCAGAACATTGTGCCAACGCTTGTTGCAGGTGTCAGGCAGCATTTGTTAGGATAGTCTAGAATTATGTGCGCACTACCTTCTTCCAAATCGCCGTCGAAGGTGAGGATTAATTGAAGTAAGTTATATATAAATACATATAATGCGAAGCGTGCGAAACGTTTTCACAGCTCGGGCCTGTGCGGCGGTACACTTCTAGATTTGTGCGCGTCATGCCTGAGTGGGTGGAGAATGTCCATGTTCTGACACCTCCTCTCCACTCAGGCACCTCACACAATATTCAACTTGTTCGGCCCTTGTAAAATGGGGGGAATCCTTATATTCTTCAAAGCACTCCCTCTGCACTCTCAATCGGTTTGAGATGCTTAGAACAGGGATATGATTTTGTTTGGGGAAAGGACACTACCCCAATATTCCTCCGACCTGATGGGAAATGCGTGAAATTTAAATTGCAGGGCAGGGTTCCATACATTGATGAGACTTGCACCCCATTCTCGATCCCCGAGTCACTCAGGATGAGACTTACTAAGGTGCTCGACTCCATCCACCAGTTCACCATCGACCAGGGCTTTGCTATGGCCAGCCGCGAGTCTGAACCCGAGAATGAACAGGAAGACGAAGACGAGGCTGGCGTAGCTGCCAATGCCGATGAGGAACAGGTGCATCTCTCATCAAAATGAATTTTTCCATGGCGGCAAATCCTGTACTTGAGGCTTCGTTCCATCAGCCTCTTTCCATGGTTCGAAGCGAGCAGACACTCCTGAAGCGCCATATCGCGCTGCTCCTTCACTTTACATATCTCACTCTCCAACTCCTCGATGTAGGTGTCAAGTTGGAAGACTTTGTTCTCCATCTCATTTCGCTCAACTTCGCAGTGGGCAAGAGCCTCAAAGTCAACCCAATTGTCGGTCTGGGCCGCCTTGTCATCCATGCCCTTCTCTTCACTCTTGTATTTCGTGGTCTCCCTGATCATCTCGCTGAAGGCGACCTCGGTGTAGTTCCAAGTCATGTAGATCACCTTTGGCAAATAGCGCCGCAGCCACTCGATCAAGCTCAAGGCCCCAACCACTGTGCAAACCAGCCAGATCCATTGCCAGCTGTCGCTCCCTTCACTGTTGGCCTCCTCTGTCGGTGCACCGGCGACACTCTCCAAGTTCGAGGGCAGCCAAATCAGGCCAACATGAAGGTTCTTGTTCTTCAACACCTTCTGTGTTCCTTTTCTCATCCTTTCACTGTGCTCAAGTTCACGATATTCTTCATGTCCAACTCGATCTCCTGCACCGTCCACCATCTTGAGCATGTACAGCAGACCGAACAGTCTGCTCCTCGTCAGGCCTTTTGTGCCAGCGCCGATGTCATCGGAGTTCAGCTCTGTCGGTATTGGGCTCACTGCAAGGATCTTTTCCTTCTCCTTCTGCTGGATCCATAGCAGGGCGGCGTCCATGTGCCTGACCCTGCCTATGCCCTGCTCTGGACCATTGAGCGTGCTGCTGAGCTGTCAGACCTGACCCTCGTCTCACATGGCTCATCAACCACCTTCATCCAAAGATGCCGAACAAGTAGTCCGTCAGAGCACCCTCCAACCATGGAGATGAATTTGGCCTCGCCTGATGATAGTGACATCGACTTCTGGGACCGAACTCTTGACTCCATCAAATTTCAATCCAGCAGGATCTGGAATGACGATGTGCTGTTCCTAGCATAGTCGCTGTCGCACACCACCTCGAGCAAGTGCTTCTCCTTGTCCTCTGCCTCCTCAGCTTCTCCTAGGGCTTGTGAAATCTGTCTCAAGTTTTCCTCTGCCATGTTCCTGATGTAGGGGAGGTACAGAAGACCTTCTCATCCACTTTCGGTACAGGTTCCACGTCCTCGTCGAAGGTCCCAGTTGGCCAGCAGCTCACAACCTTCCTCCTTTGTTGTTTCGTCTCGAAACCTTTCGGCTCTTCTGATGAATCTCCAGGTGGCTGGACAATGACCACCCGCCTTTTCCTCTACTTCTGTCTATTTCGACCTTCACCTCTCGTTCTTGTAGGTCACACTCTTCTCGCTCCGGGCCCAAATCAACCTGCCCACGTGCTCGTCGCAGTCCACCACGACCGCTCCTTTTTCCAGCCAAGGGAACCACGGTCTCCGGCAGGAAGTAGTTGGCCTCCTGAGTCCAGCTCTCACCTGCAGCGCCGGCGATGCACGCCAGCAAAAACCCAGTCGAATTCGCTCCCTGGGCGCAGCTATTGCGGCAAAGGGTCGCGGTGACACGTGGGCGGCTGGCACTTACGACCAGCGCTCCGCTACCACGCGAAGCGTGCGAAACGTTTTCACAGCTCGGGCCTGCATGGACGGCGGTACACTTCTAGATTTGTGCGTGACATGCCTGAGTGGGTGGAGAATGTCCATGTTCTGACAAATAACTATACTATATACAAGTGTTTTGGCGTTTGTTGTTTTGCTTAGTGTGCTGGACAAAGTTATACCATTAAAAACACTGAAAGGACACTTTTCTGGTCAGCAAACGAATCAAATAGACTCTCTTGCGCACGCTGGTGGTAACCGGATTAGAAACGAAGCATAACTTCTACGATAGGCCTGATAGACAATTCGCTGGTCCAATAGTTGAAGAGTAGCAAGCCTATAGAAGTCAGATCAGTGCAATCTTGAAAGGTGTTGCACAGGTTCTTAGAACGGAGCTGCTCAGGAAAAAGAAAAGAACTGTCGGGCTGCACACGCGCATCTTCCCGTCACACAGTCCTGGACAATAATGATGATCATTGAGAGTGAGGCACCTGGCAGCCTCGAGCTCATCGCAGGAGTATCCAAAGGGCTCAGGGCAGGCAGTGCTCTTTGTATTGGCCGAACATTGGCAACTCACCGGGCAGAAGGCCTCGACGGTCTTGAACCTCTCAGCGTTTGGACCACACCAGCGGGGACCCCCAAACGTGAACAAAAAAAATGCTGCGCCGAGCGAGTTTAGATGTTGCGCCGGGCAGCTCCCACTCAAAGGTGCTGTTCCAACCGAAGCAAGTCCCCCAGGACACGTTCTGGGCAGCCAATTCTGCACCAAAGCCACAGCCGTAATCCCACATGGCTTGCGCAATCTTCAGAGCTTCAGCTTTGCCTGAGGGCAAAGAGCGTCGTCTACTTGGTCTGCTCTAACGAATTCTTTTTCGGCACTCTTCAGGCCTCCCCCACCAAGGAAAAAAAAGATGTCATCTGTGTGTGTGCCACACTCTGCTTCTAAGAGTTCTTGGTTTTTGCAAAGCAGGGGGCCATCCCCTCCCCAGTGGCGGATGGCCAACGAAGAGGCCACTGGGGAGGGCTGCAAACGTACCTGCTGAACTGTTGCACAAGCTGTTCTCCTTTCGGTTTGCTTCTCATGGTGGTTCTCACGCTATTCCCCTAAGCCTTCCCCTGTTTATCTGCTATGTATTCAGTAAAGCGCTAACGCGTCAACATTGTTCAACATTTAAGTTAAGCCGACTTTGCGCCTTTCCGTTCCCTCATCCATTTCACTGTGGATTATGGAAACTGCAAGCCCTGTGACTAAGTGGGTATCGCTGTGTCTTCCCACTGGGTACACAGTGTGATCCTCTCGCAAGAGAGACGCCGAAGCCGTCGTGAATCACAAATTGACACAAATTGGTTCAGCGTCTTGAGTTCGTGGATTATGGTTTGGTTTGTTTTGTTTCACCCATGAATCAACTGAACCATATGCCGCCGGGGCGGTTAAGACTAAAGTCCCGCTCCCTAACTATTGCACGTAATCAACGGCTGCGAAGTATTCAGTAACTAGACCACACATGGACACACACACACACCCTCCCTGCCCCCCCGCTTTTTCTCTCTTATGCTTTCTTCGTTTTCTAGGTTTTCTTTCAGGCTCGTTAGGTGGCTCTTGAGGCTCGTTTCCCTGCCCCTCGGGCTTTGCTTAGTTCTTTCTCTCTTGCCTGTTCGTTTCTCTTTCTAGGTTTGCCTTTCTGCTAGAGGCTTTTTAAGTCTGTAATGAGGTTCTTCTTTTTCTTTTTCAATCAAGGGCTAAGTAGTCAAGTGCTAAGTAGTCACTTTTTCGCTAATTCCTATCTTTCTTTCTTGCCCTTTCCGTTTTGCTCTTTCTGTCTTTCTTTTCCTCTTTTCTAAAGGCTTTTAGGTACCTAGTCAGCTTCATTGCCAAAGGGCGCTCCACAGCAGAGTGCCAACGCTTTTTGAAGCACCAACAGAACTGTAACTGGTGCGAGGGTGCGCCGCAAAGCGGCCAATTGTGTGTGCCACACTCTGCTTCTAAGAGTTCTTGGTGTTTGCAAAGCAGGGGGCCATCCCCTCCCCAGTGGCGGATGGCCAACGAAGAGGCCACTGGGGAGGGCTGCAAACGTACCTGCTGAACTGTTGCACAAGCTGTTCTCCTTTCGGTTTGCTTCTCATGGTGGTTCTCACGCTATTCCCCTAAGCCTTCCCCTTTGTATCTGCTATGTATTCAGTAAAGCGCTAACGCGTCAACATTGTTCAACATTTAAGTTAAGCCGACTTTGCGCCTTTCCGTTCCCTCATCCATTTCACTGTGGATTATGGAAACTGCAAACCCTGTGACTAAGTGTGTGTCGAACCCTGTGTCTAAGGGAATTTGACAGCCGAATTTAAAGCAGGGGAGTGGTGCACGGTCATGGAGTCACCACTCAACGAAGACACTCCTTGACGCCTTCTGGACGTACCTGCCTTTGTGACAACACTCCAATCTTCCCACGCTGTTTGTTGTTTCCATGGTCCTTTGCATGATATCCCCCCAAACGTTTCCCCAACAGCTTCACCGTTTTGAGCGCCACCGCCGCTTTGCAGCTGACTGTTTGCGCGAGAATTCCAACAAGTGTTCAAACACTTTCAAATGTCTGGCGGACTCAATCGCCGTGCCGTTCCATCATCCCTTTCCCTGTGGATTCTCTTACTGAATGAAACTCAGTCAAAGCGTGTGACAACAACCAAAAATCAGAAACAGCACCCTCACCTGCAAGGTCGGCAGACATCTCACCATAGGCTCTGATCGAGTTGATCCATTGAACCCAGTTGGGGTTTGCCTGCAGGCTCGACGCATTCTTCTCAATGCAAACGCCTTGCTTCTTGAAGTCCTCTTCAGGTAGTGCCATGCGCTGTGAGCAGTGCAAAAGCCATCAAAACTGTTCTGTTGTCGAAGGGGGGGCCGCTAAGAAAAGGGTCGATCCTCGACCAACTCCTTGTCTACTTGCTGCGACTTGCGCCAAGTCAATCAATGTCAAGCAACTTTTAACAACAAAGGTTCAAAGGGCATACCAAACGATGCCATACCTTACTGCATTCCTGTACAGCTACCCCAGTTCAAAGTCAGCTTCTCAGAAGCTCCAACCCCCAAGCAATTGAAGCCACAAAAACGGCCGTCCTGAAACGCTTCCGTCGAAGCACATGGTCGGCCAGCCCCATACGGACAGCCCTGCACGGAGATCTGCCCGCTAGCCGGATCTTGACAGCCGCAGGTCTGTGAGCACAGCATCCGTGCTGCCCAGCCTTTGCCACCGTCCAGCTGATACTCTGGCATCCGGGTGAAGGAACCGCAGTCATTGATCACATCCTCACATCCTTGAATGGTGGCATCCCCCAAGAGGAACCTCAAGTAGGTCAGGTACCCGTCAGACGCCAAGTCAATGCACTGCGGGTTGTTCAGATCGAGGCTCTCTGCCAGGGTCAAGACCGCAACACCAGACAGCTGAGTCACGTCTTGAAGCCAAATGCTATACTGGGTATCATTCACACCCAGTGCAATACCAACCTCTTGCGCTTCATCCACAGCCAAGGACCTGACGAGTCACACACGACCTTCGACCCGAGAGGCGCCAACCGAGACCTTTCGACACGAGTTCGTTTGGGGGCCAATCACAACCGCTGCAATGTGCACTTATAGCCTATACACGTCAGATGCGCGAGCGTCTGCAATATGCTGTGCCGCAGCAGATATGCTGTATGTGCAGCTGTGGCAGCGGGGGCGGTAAAATCTGCAGTCCACAAGCTTGGCATCTACCTGTATACATCTTGTACAGTGTCTCTGAGTGTGTCCGCCAGTGTTGAGGGATCACAGGTCGAATCATATCGAATCAAGGTGTCACAGTGTCGAATCTGTCAGCGCCCCACTCTACTTGCAACATTGAGCTTCTTGAGCTTCGATTAGTCGCGCTCATGTTCCACGCTCCGTTCCATGGATGTTGCCTTCTTCAGCATTCTTTTGGCGAATCGGATGCCGAGCAGCTTGATACTGGTGTCCTCTGTGAAGCCACCACCGGGGGTCGGGGACATCAAAACCACTCCGCGCGGGTCCAGGTCCCAAACGAAATCTTGGTTTCCGCCACACATCGCCAGGCTGACCTCCTCCAAGGTCGCCACCATGGGTCCTGCGGGTGGCTTCGGCGGAGTGCGGGCAAGTGGTGGCAAATCACTGGCAGATCATTCCAACTGCAAAGCCATTTTCTTTCAAGCCCAGTTGGGTGAGCCTAGCATGGTGAAATAGACGAAGATGGTCAGGGCTGGGATGAAGATGGACATGCACACTGACTTGGCATCGGCACCCCTCAGGCGTGGCATCGATGGCATGGGCAAAGGGTCCAATTGATGCACCAAATGTCGGCCAGGCGTAGTGGCCAAGGCATCAAACAGCAAATCGTCAATATCCAAAATGATGCCCAAAGCCACGGCATTCAAAATGAGTTCCGTCACATCGAACGTATACACCAGGAAGAAGGTGCCCACAAAAACCAACAAACCTGAGACAGGTCGGGCAGGAACGTGTAAGGCAGCGTCTGTGTTCAATGCGAAGGCAGAGCGAACTGTCGAGTGCGGGTGCTGCACCTCATTTTCACAGTGTCTTTTCATGCCTTTTAGAAGCAATGGCCTCCAACCATGTGAAGGTGGCTGTTAACGCTTTTGGGTAAACTCTTGGGACATGTACAGGCGGCCAATCGACTCGCAACTGTCCGGGGTCAGTTCTTGTCTGCCAATTTTCCTTTACATCGGACCAAGGACCAGAACGTGTCAACGTTGTGTGTGTCACGTGCGTCGCCCCTGCCTGCTGACACCACACGGTAGGTGAAAAGGCAAAAGCTGAAGACCTTGCGGCGCTTCGCCACCGTGCGCAGCCGATAATGCCTCACCTGGCGTCTCGACGCGCCGCGAGACGCAGCAAAAAAAAACAGACCGCAGGCTCGGTCAGAAGGGCTCGGTTTCAGTCTGTGGGTCCGGACTTGGGGTGCACACTTAAATAGGGCATAAGTCTGGCATAAGTCTGGCATAAACGTATGGAAGTGACGCCACTTTCAACGGCCAGGAAGCCGCCCGTTCAGAGCGGCTGCCGGCTCTGAGTCGGGAACTAGTCGAGCAATGGGCGAGTCCGTAGCGTTCTTCCGAAAGAACGGTTGCAAGTCGGGTGAGGGGCAGTGGGGTCCAATGGGCTTCTTTCAACGCGAATGCTGAGGAAAAAACAACCTTGGAACCTAATAGAGATGGCCTCCACCCTAGCAGCGATTCCCTCCAACCTGGGAGAAGAAAAAATTAGTAATTAACCTTGCACATTCTTTGCAGATGGCTAGCCACTCCTGGCTAAAGCGCCTGCTTCGCGGTCATCCCACCCCTGACCATCCCCACAGCCATGCCTGCCTGTGTGAAAGGATTCTCACGTGTGTCGATCCGTGTAGCTCCGGTGGGCGTCGCTACGATGCTCCGATGCAGAGCCAGTGCGTGGCTCACCTGCAGAAGCAAGGCTCGGCCAAAGGCCACGGCACGGGTCCAATACGCAGTCACCAGGGTTTTGCGACGAAACGGAGCAAGAAGCTAGGTTGGAGGCCATTGCTACTAGGGTGGAGGCCACTACTAGTAGCAAGAAGCTACTAGTTACTAGTAGGAGGGAGAAGTTAAAGAAAAGGCGCTGAAAAGACCTCGAAAAGATTCGCAAAAGGATTGTCAAGACACCAAATTTTGTCAGAAATGCTCACAAAATATTCAGAAATACACCGAAATTAGAAATCACCAAAAAGGAATGTCAAGAGAGGTGTGAACGGCCTTGCCCCAAACCTGATCCTTTTTTGCGTCACAAATGGTCAAAAGAAGGAATCGTGGCCCTGGCCACTGTCTCCAGTAGATGTTCCCCTCCTGCCTCCTTGGCCACCATCAAATACCAGCAGATCAGCGCAACGATGCAAAGCATCTGCCCGGTGAAGTAGCTCTCAAAACCCTCCCGTCCGGCTTTCAAGTACTTGTCGATGTTCTCATAGAGGTCCACCTGGGGTTCTGGGAAAAGGGTGAGACTCTTCGACTCATCGATGTCAACCCAGCAAAGCTTGCATGTCAAAAGGCCCACGAGGCCAGCAAGGCCAGCAAGACGCGACCTGGCCTGAATTCCGGATTGTTCCAAGGACTTGTCAAGACTGCACACCCGTGTTGTTAAGGATGCCCTGGCCAACTCACTGTAGGTGGAGAGTGAATGCCCGGATGACCTGACAATGGGACCACACGCACCGAAAAAGGACACTCACAAAGGTACTGGGGTGGTGGAATGTGTGGCGACGTTTTTCAGAGTTTCTATCGGTTCGTCTCGGCCTGTGTTACACGATGCTTGATGGTTCCCAGAAGGGATCAAACAAAACTCAACAACTCCATCGATGCCCCCTTGTCGATGGTGAAAAGCACTTTCTCATACAAAATCTCCGTTGACCTCCATTGACCTGCTTGATTCACCGCACCTCCTCCACCTGGTGGCATCCACCACGGACTGATCGTTCACCTCCGCAGTGGTGAAGTTGAAATAGGCAATGGCCACAAAGACCACCTCAGGGAGCTGGAAGTTGAAGCGGAACCCCATCGCTAGCAGGGTGGGGGCCATCGCTAGTAGGGTGGAGGCCATCTCTAGTAGCAATGGCCTCAGGGAAGAAGTTGAAAGCGGAACCAAAACCCTGAGCGCCAGGATTTCGCTGCTCTCCGACTCTTTTTCGACCCTTGTTCGACCGCTTTCCACCTGCATGAGGACATTCACCACGGCCAGGAGACATGTCTGGAACGAACCACCAGGACCAAGAGCACCCGTGCCAATGAAAAACACCAGGTCCCAGGTAGATTCGCCAAACGAGTAGTACCTGACGACGGCAGAAACCACCGTGAACGGTGGCCGTTCTGGCCGCTCTTAGCGGCCGAACGGTAGGGACCCTGGGTGCGAGATGGAGAACATACAGAGCAACAAAGGGATGTACGAAAAAAGGCCCGGAAGAATGGGCCAAAAGCAGAGTGGTGTGGTGATTGGGCTGGCAAGCGGTATTTCTGCTGTGCATGTGGGCATGGTTTGGGCTGCGCCCTTGGCACCTCCGCGGAAAAGTAAGCCAAGCAGGAACTTGACGAGCTACGGTTCACCAAAGCATCTGGAAAGCTAAGGAAAAACGCTTCGCCAAACTTGTTACCCCCAAAAACGCTTCCCCCTCCCTGAATCGTGCCGTGCTGCTCATTGGTCTGAGTGTCCAAAATCATCTCATTGACGTCCGAGGTGGCTTGGCGGCTCATTTCCGTGATCCTGATGGCACTTTGACGCCTTGTGGGCGAATGTGCCACTAGAGACTTGGGAGTCAGTCCCGCTGGTAGGTCTTTCAGCTCGAGATTCACCCCATTGCTGTCCTCGCAACAGACCCCAAAAAAAAAGGACTCAAAAAGGACTCCAAGGAAAATCCCGGAAGAAGCCAAGGCTAGACTCCTGCATCCCTGCTTCCAATATCCTGAGCGCCCGTGCTTGGACTCCAATCGCACTCTGACATCAAATGAAGTACACAAAAGAAGTGACTCGCAGGCCTCTCTTACAATGCTAGCTTAGCGTCCCCTCATCGTCTGGCGGTGGAAGAGGAGCAGGAGGTGCCATATCGTTCCATTTTGGACCTTTTGCTCCAAAGTCGTGCTCCTCTGGAACGTACCCACCTGGACCTCCCTCCTCCAAGTGTTTGACCTTTTTCTCCAGCACATGCCTCGAAAGCAACAGCGGCCAGCATGCCGCCTGACCTATGTGAAGTGAAAGTTCTAAAGATGTTGCTGACATGCATTTGCATTCGACGAATGGAAGAGGCCTACCGTGTTCTGCGTGCCTCACATTACTACTCATCGGTCTCTTCCCCTTATCTTATCTTACTATATTTATTGCGTGATTTCTCTCCCTCTCCCTGCTTCTGTCTGTCTGCCTGCTTGCCTCTCCGGAGTTTGTACCTTATAAGTGCAGCCAGATGCAAGCGATCATGTAGCTGCGGCACTAGGCCCGCCAAAGCCACCGTCTCCTCCAACTCTTCAAACCGTTGGTCGATGAGGCGTAGAATCTCAGCCCCAGTGACAGTCCTCAGTGTGGCCTACCTTTGCACATGCCTGCCCTGTCTCTAGCTCGGCCAAGGGGGGCTTCAGCAGCTCAACTCTAAACAGGCCTCCAACGGCCTCCAATCTACTAGCGATGGCTCCAACCTAATAGCAACGGCCTTGGGGCCTTGGGCATCCGCACATGCTTTCTGCCAAGGCACGCATTCGACTTCTTTCCGAAGGGCAGTGTCGGTCCCGGCATCGGGGTGTCACTGCTCCAAGAAAATGGAGAGAGACCCTCTGGACTTAAAACAGCTGCAGAATTTGAAGTGGGAGCGGCACACGGACAGCCCCCGCACACCGCACAGCAGCTTGTGGTTGGTTCAGGACAAGGACGGACCACAACCGGAGACTTTTGGCATGACACCTGATTCACACAAGTTACATTGGTCACCCCTCGTGCTCGGTGAAAATCACACTGAAGCAAAACACCGAACGCGACTCAAAAAGCAGCCGGCCTCAGTTGCACCACACCCTAGGCTTGCGCAAGTGCATGACTGAATTGCCATCATGAGCCTGAGTCATGGTTGCACTCCGAGCTGCATTGGTGTCGCCATGGAAACCGACTGAATCATCAATGTTTTCAAGTGCCTCCTGAATCCTGCATCTAGGTCAGTTGTTCTTGCTCAGTTGAGCCCTTAAAGGGCTTGCCAATTGAAATCTGTAACCCTACCTCCACTGCAAACCAATCATCACAAGCTGCAGAGTCACAAGCTGGAGCTCTGCAAGCCAACCACTCACCCCAAGGTTCGGGGCGCGTTTGATCCAGGATCGTCCAACAGGCAGTAGCAACGAGGCTTCAGATGTTCTGTTTCCCAACATCCAAATCCCAAGGAGGAAAAAAAAAAACTATGAAAATTATGAAAGCTCTGTGCTGCAGGATGCACGGTATACGGCGATCGGCGCACGGCGATCGGCGATCAGCTCAGTCGAACTGTCTAAATGGACTAAACGTGCACGAATTTGCCTCATGCGATGTGAGACCGCATGGACTGTCCGGCCCGCGATTGAAACAGGATCACCACGTGCTCTTGATCACCATGGATCATCTTGCACAGCTTTGCACTGCGCTCGGAATGACAATTGAAATCTTCTGCAACATCTTCAACAACTTGATCAAGCAAGTCTGATCACTGATTCAAGACGGGTCTGAAGCAATGAATTAAGGCGCAGGCTGGGGAAGCTTCAGCAACTCTCAACACATGCCGCGGCAAGACTGGGTGAGCCCAGGGGGGCCCTGAGTGAGGCTACGTTCACGTTCAGGCACGTTCACCACTCTTGTCAGCCTTGTCCTGGCCAAGGCTCCGTCACAAGGCAAAGAAGAAACATCTCCAGAATTCTCAAATCAAGGGAGGTACGTCTTGGAGGACAACTTCAGTGTCGAAGCGCTTCCTGGTCGAAGCGCTTCAGATCCGTCAGTGCTTGGTCACAGCGCCTTTGGAGCGCCAGCCGTTGCTCCAGACCGAGCCCTCGCTCGCCTACGTTGGAGCACGTGATGGAACAGCCAACGGAGGCTCATTGCTCGCCCCAACGGGGGCTCAATCACAGTGATCTAAAAGGGATATAAAATATTATGATATCAAATCCTCTATTATTCCTCTCAATCACGGGTGATATAAAAGGGATATAAAGGAATAATGAGAGTTTTGCCATTTGGCCCTTCTAAAAAGGGTCTCATCATCGGAACAAAAGGCCGACTTTACAGTTTCGTCTGGTGCGTCTATCTGAAGTTTGTACACTGGGACATTCTACTCCTCTACTCCAGCCTAGGCTGTTCAAGGCGGTGCCAATCCACTCCTGACGAGTTCACACAGCTTTCACACGAATTTCAGTGGTGATAAAGAAAGGTCTCAAACCAAGACAACTGGATGCCAAAAGCAGCCAACTCGCCAGCAAAATGGTTGTCCATCGGTGCTCATTCCACAGGTGCATCGGTGCACCTCGAGCATGAATTTCAGGAGCTCCACATCCACCAGGGCAGCCAAGCGAAGCAAGCGCGCCTCGCAGCCGCTCCGAGCCGAGCCGCAGCGGGGGGCACGGGAGGTCACAAGAGGCCAACGGTCCACGCGTCCGGAATGAGTCGAGCCGGAGCCATCTGAGCCGCGGCCTCCACGGAGGGTGGCGATGCGATCAAATGCCAGGCAGTGGCCACAAAAATCACTGCGAGCACTGCCTGCGCAGGACAGGCTGAGTGAAGCCTGTGTGAGCCCACGTTTTCTAGCTCAATGTCCATCTCATATACTTTAATGCCGTCGATGGACCGCACAAAAACTTGACCACAAGGAGGCTCAAAAGGAGCCGGCTCTACACATGCCAAGATCTCACGAGCCTCGATCTCACGAGTCTCCGCGGTGGAGGGAATGTCCAACAAGCGCTGGGAGAGAACTTCCAACACCTGGACCCCACGTGCGGAGAATCTACACATCGCGAGGGTCCAAGCAGGTGCACGTTTGCCACTTGAGGCCAGAGGGGGTGAACGAAAGCTAGCCGGGCGGGGAGGCGTGCGCATGCTAGGGTGTGGCTGCGCAGACAACCAAGCAACAAACCACCAAGCAGCAGCAGCAACGGACCACCAAGCAGCTGCAGCAGCAGCAAACCACCAAGCAGCTGCAGCAAACCACAAAGGAGCAGCAGCAGCAGCAGAAGCAGCAGACCACCCAGAGCAGCAGCAGCAGCAGACCACCCAGCGCCAGCAGCAGCACCAAACCACCCAGCAGCAGCAGCAGCAGCAGCAGCAGACCACCCAGCAGCAGCAGCAGCAGACCACCCAGCAGACCAAGCAGCAGACCAAGCAGCAGACCAAGCAACGAGCACACCAGGCAGCAGCAGCAGCTAATTTGTTTCCACCCGCTCACCGCGCGCAGGGGGAGTTGAACCTCCGGAGGGGGGGGGTCCATAAGATTGATTTAATCAGTTATTTGAGGTTTCTGAGGCGCGTCCACCCCGTCATTTAACTTGCTAAAGCAAGAGCAACTTCAGCTAGCTAAGGCTAGCTTTCGTGATCTGCCCCACCTCCGCAATCATGGAGAAAAGTGTCTCCTTGTCAACCACAGAGACCTTGAAGTGTTTTGCCCCGTTGAGGAGTTGTGTTGAAGCTTTTTCCACAAGATCGTCACATGCAGAGACCCACCAATGTTCGAAGTCTGAGGCAGCAGCAGGGTTCAAAAAGCCTGGAACTTCACTAACCACTCGTCTCAAGGCTTTTTGCCATCGCAACATATCCTGCCATGAAGTCTGTTGAAAAGCACAGGTCACGAAAAATCACAATGACAGCAGAGCTGCACACATCACAGACCGCATGGCATCACGGAGGGGAACAAAGGAAGGCAAACTTCATGCAGCTGTCAGCGGTGTAGACGTCTGTTGTAGGGGCTTCGTCTCTGTCCCTCTGTGTCCCTCAGGTCCCTCAGAGAGGCCTCGTTGTATTCGCAGATCAGCTGGATGCGCTGCGTCACGTCGTCCGAGGCTGCGCACGCGTCGATCTTCCTCACCCTCTTCTCCTGCACGTTTGGCCCCAAAGTAAGGAGTGGAACAAGAACCGTGTGGGTCGCAGTGGAAATGGAGGAGTCAAGAAATGTCTGGACAGAATTCCAAAGAAAAAAAGGTGCAACCTCCCCCCACTGCACTGTTTCAGCAAGCTGCCAGGAAACAATCAGAATTTCCAACTCCCGAAATTGCTCTCAGCTCTCCTCATTTGCGATTAATTCTTCAATGTCATGCTCGTCAACTTCCCCTGCATATCGCAAGCCAAAGCAACACCCAAGCAATCAGTTGCTGTCTGCGAATCCATTGAGGACTTCATGCTTGAAAGGCTAGGACTAGGAAACCCTATCAACAAAACCATCAGCCATGTCTTGGGCATTAGATGCAGGCAACCTACTCCAAAGCCTAAGATATATAATATATTTGGTTTCAATCATGCTGTGCAGGAATCCGACCGGAAAAAATAAAACACGCCGGGATCAAAGCCGGCCACGGCACATGGATGCTTCGACTTGATGCGAACAGCCCGCTGCAAGTTCGCAGAGAGGCGCTTGATCTCCTGAAGGAGCATTTTTCAGGGGCACGCCTCTGTAGTAGGGAAGGCTACCCTTGCTGGGGCCCACCTGCATCATCTAGTACCCATACTCTACGCTCTGAGCTGCAAAGAACAACGGAGATTCCATTGGAGAGCCCACTTCCACCGAGCCCAGCAGCTCGGTCGGATCCGACCGATCCTCGAAGCCATCGTACATCGCCATCACAGCAGCTGCCCCTGTAAGCGACGCATATGCGGCCTGCTCAGCCGCCTGGTAGCCCAGGGTGTTCCCAGTCACATCGCCTTGAGGTTCCCAGTGGCAGGTGTTGTCCTTGGGGAGCTGCAAGTGAATTCCAAGATGCTTCACAAAAAGTTCACCCAAAAAAGAGGGAAAACTCTTGAACGTAACCAGAGTGCTTTAGACTGTTTCACCTATGCCGATGTGGAGCAGCTGCCTCAATTCTGCACGCCCGTCCGGAAAAGCGTCCATGCGAGGTGACTTGTTAAGTCACACTGGGACATGAGACAGGAGCCAAGGCCGCGGACCGCGGGAGAAGAGGTGGAAGGTGGTGGAAGATGAAAGCAAGCAAACGAAGGCAACTGGTTCAGTTCAATGTAGCAAGGTTGAGATATAGACATAGAGTGATAGTGGAAATGAAATAGCGCATCATGACAAGGCTGCAATGCCACAGCAGCCCTTGTCAGGTTTGATGTGGCGATTCTCCAGACAGGTGGATCGCCTTGTAGGCGATGAGGCAGCCACTCGATCGCCCATTCAGCCGCAAGCAGAACCGAAAGCCCAAGCAGATCACGTGCGATCTGACCTCCAACAGCCTTCCCGGCCACATGAAGGACACCACGAGCGCGCAGATGTGCACGGGCGCCGTGCATCGGGCGCAGACGTGAAGGACAAAGCAAAACAAAAATGGAAAGGATTTGGTTCAGGAAGGTCTAACTTGCGGCTGCCAGCTTCAAGGATTGAAACGATGGTTTGTATAACTGTTTTTTCCTTTGGTTGAATGGATCTTGGCCCTGAGAACCCCTGTCCGAATATTCCGATGCTTCGATGGCAGATTGCATGCCCAGCACTCGCGCAGCATTTCCCAAGTGCACCGCAGCTTCTAACCTCAGAGGGTCCGCTTCGGAGTCCGAGTGGTCCGAGTGGGCAAGTGGCATCGGATGCCACTTGGGTGCGGTCGCCGACTTCAGCCATCCAACTTCCGTTCCTCTTTTTTCACCACTTGAGAAACGCAGACTTGTAAATCTGGCAAATTGGCTTTGAAACAGAAAAAAGATTAGTACAGTATAGTGCACCAAAAAAGGAGATAATACTTCTTTTTGTAAATATAAAAAACTGTATTCTGCACGCACAAAAAAGCACATGCAAAGGCTGGCTGCCAAATCCACCACCAGCCTAAGACACGTGGATAGATGATAGACCCCCCTCCCAAGCCCACAGGAGCCGAGCAGCTCATCTTGTGTCCGGTTCGCCTGCTCCAGGAGGTCAGCAATGGTCTGACCATCCATTCCTTCTTGTAACTCTTTGTGTATCATCTTAAAGATCGGAGTGGCCTACAAAGCCACAAAGCAAGCAAAATAGCAAGCACGGAAAGCGCTTTTGGCGCAGCTGCAGCACGGAAAATGTTTCGAAAGTGCCGTCCCCAAAGTGAAGATGTCAAAGGTCGTGTTAACAAGGGTATAGGTGGCGCAAATTCGACGTTCGGCTCAAGACATGAAGAGAGTGGCTCTGTTTCAAACAGCCCGATGGCCAGCGCGGCTAGATCTGCGCCGCTGTGCACAGCCCTGAACCCGGCGCGCCTTCCCAGCAAAGCTCGGCATCTTCCCTCCGACATTTTTGGCGTTGTTGCCGGCCTCCATCACAGATCCTCACAGCCCGAAGCTAGCTAGCTGATGTGTAAGCTGCAGCGACGACGACGCGTGGGTTTTATGGCAGCAACGACGTCTACGACTTTGGACTTGCACGGTGCTCCGCAGGTCTTGTGGTTCCCTATTTCCCTTCCCACACAGCTTCTTGCCTCGTGGGTGTTGCCAAGGCTTGGAGCTGTCGATTGCAAGACTCTCAATCGAATTTACCCAGCAATCGGTTCAATAGCAAACAAAACCATGACACGCCCATGTCTCTGTTCTCTGGATTCCTTCGTTGCTCACCTGGGCATGTCTGTACCAACCCGATCGCTGATGATCAATGTGTCGGCACCGAGGCCAAACCACCAGCAGTTTATCCATGTTGATCCATCCAGTTCTTGAGCGGCACACGACACGACACACGGGCGAGTCAGCACAGCCATGGCCTCCAACCTAAGAGCGGCCAAACCCTTTCTTCCCGGTGCCTGCACAATGAAGAGAAAGGCCAGTTCGCCCAATGATGCTACTGCTGCGCCAGGGGCCAACCTCTACTGCCCCCCACCGGCTGCTAGTGCCTTAGATGTGCACAACACAAATGGGAACTAGCTTTTTCCCCGCGCAGTTGCTCAAGCAAACTGCAGTACTCTTTTTGCATCAAAATCATGCTGTAAATTGAAGGTTCGAAAGGGCAAACAAGACGGACACATGCGGACACCTTTTACATGCTAACTGATAGTCCGGGAGTCCGTCTTAGGACGATTGCCTGTATGGTCAGGGAAGTCAATCAACGGCAACGGCTTCCTTTTGAGATTGTGCCCTTCAGCCAGGCGACAGTTCTCGCTGTCGTCACTCTCTCCACAACTCTCGCTTTCTAGATCCTCCTGGTAGTCTTCCGACGGCGCACTCTGCGCTTGGCTCTGCGTCTCACTGGGCGGCCGGAGACCAGCACTACCGGCTTCCTCGAGACCGGTCTGACGGTCCTGACCTTCCTTATCTTTTCTTTTCACACTTGTCTGTCGTTCACGCTTCTTCCCATGCACCTTTTTCCCACGCTCGGCCTCTTTCCTGAGAGAAGACTGGAGAAAGAACATCGGCATGAAAATGCTTGCGCGCTCATGTCCTGCAAACATCTAGCATGGAAGCAGACTGGTCGGAGGCTTTCTCCTTTCTAATCAATTGATGTTTTATATAACCGGGAAGTGTCACCGTGTCACTGTCATTCGACTCAAAAAACTGGAAATTCTATGCCCCCAGCGCCACGGAGCTGGGCAAACTTCGAGTCTTCTTGGGCTTGCACAGCTGGTGCATGGAGAGAGCCATCTGGAGCGAAAAAAGGAACGACGACATAGAGCAGGACCAACCAAACGCGGAACTTCTGCAAGGTGTTTCGTTCGAACCCCTCACCATTGCAAAAGCTCTTAGAGATATTGTGTGCTTTCTTTCTTAGGGCACAAGTTGTGAACAAACACCTCTCAAGAGGTGGAGCCAGTCCCTTCATTTCAGTCCTGCTGTGCATCCCAATTGCCAAACACTGAGCATCCGCATTTCCCAAACCGACCTTTAAGCCCTTTCATGCAATGTCAGCTCCCACTTCACCTGCTGCAAGGCACCTGAGCACTTCTCAGTGCCTCTTGTGCCTCGACTCTCATGTCCTTGGGAAACTTGCTCGGGAACCTCGGTCGGCACCGGGAACGGTTCTGCGTCTTCCAACCGAAAGCGTTTCGGCAGGGGGGGCCCATCCGAAAAAGAACAAAAGAAACACCTCTGAGTTCACATCATGCAAAAAGGTGCATGGCTGCATGATGTGCTGTGCCCACACCCTCATTTTGTTGATTCCTTCCTTCCTTGGGGGGTGGCATAGAATAGACGAAAAAGTCCAAGCCACGCAGTTTGAAGGATGTTCACCTGCTCCTTGATTTCCTCGTTATCATCCGTTGGCAGGACGCCCGCCTCAAAAGAAAGACACCACGCGCGGTCAGTCCGTTCTTCCACTTCTCGTCGCGTCCGGTTCGACCCAGACGACCCGCCAGGTCCGCGCGAGTGAAGCGAAATCCAGCGACGCTGGCTCGTCGGCTCGCCAGAAATCACCCAAACATGGTTCCTCCATCTTCCTCGGACAGTAGTTAGTTCAAACAGGGTGCGTTGTAGGCGCAAAGCTTCTCGTAGGCATCTTGCAAGGCTTGGAAGGCTTCCTTTGAAGTGTCGCCTTGCCTGCGCGTGTTGGTTCCGCTGCCGGATTGACTAACCTGGGTTCAATCGCACTAACCGTGTTCAACAAGGCTTCAATAGTGCAAGTGTTTGATATCCAGATTCCGCACCAACTGGTCCCGTCTCGCACCCTGCCACTCGTCCAACTGAGCCCGCTTCTTGTAAGCCGCTCAGTTGTTGCAGGATCCTCTCACCAACGAGGACGGCATCGCCCATTCGGTGCACGTCGGTGGTGGGACTCCACACAAATTCACGACATGTGACGAATTCACAGCATGCCTGCCACAGCTATACACCAGGAGCTGCGTCCCAAAAAATACTGTCCCGCGTGATGGCATGCCAAATCAAGGACACCCAATGCGAGCCCACAGTGGGAGGACTGTCAGTCTCACACCGCTAGCGAAATGATCCTTAAGAAGATCCGCTCAAAAGAGATGCCAAGGCATTGCCAAGGATCGTCTACTTCTCTAACTCTCGTCTCGCACACTAAAAATGGGCTTACCCAACTCACGTCTCGCACATTAAACATGCGCAAAATTGGACTAGGCAGGTAGAAAACGGAAGAATGTATTGTGGCCATCACGGGATCATTCTGTCCGTGCAAAGGACAGAGTCCGTGCCATACCGACGTCCGTGCCTTTCAGAGCACTCGAAGTCGATATCCTCATCGTCAGTCTCTACTTCGAGAAAGGTTCGCCGCACGACGATTTTGTGCGTCGCAGGCGGTCGGGTTTCCTCAGGCAAGCTCTGTGCACCCGGCGGCTGCGGCAAGAAGCGGGGCTTTACATCCTCATGCACGTTGGGTGCCGTCGTGCCACCATTGGCACGTCTATACGCTGTCTTTTGCAAGGAGAAGGCCTCACCAAACATGAAGCGAACACTGGACCACTGGCGCTGCAGCACGGCTGCTTGGTAGGGCACCAGCTGTCGGCCGTCCAGTGTGTTGAAGACGTCGATTTTCTCGCCCAGGGCTTCCAGAAAAAGTTCCAAATATTCCGAAAACATGAACTTCTCTCCAGTCGGATTGAAGCGAGTCCATGCCGTCAATCCAAGCTGCTCTCCTGCAGCAATGGTCACCGTGGGCTTTTGCTTCCGAGCCGCTGGGAGGAATGGAGGACCTCGTTGCCAACTTTGAATGGCGAGGATGGTGTAGAATTCCTCGGAACATCGAGAAGCATACTTCAAAAGGCTCAGCGACCTACTGAGTTACTGGAGAGCAAGGTTCTCAGACCGCGAACTCAATGCAAATCAATGCCAAAAAAGGCGCCCAAGCCGGTCAAATCCCCCAACACACAACGGAGCAACGTGAAAGAAAAATAAGAACAAACAACCCGAGTCCTCATCCATGGCCCGCATCTCTTTGATACCAGGGCAGTTCAGGAACCACTCTGTGCTTTTGCGTGCCGACTCTAAAACTCGCCGAAACTGCGGAACTGCCCAGTGCGCGAACCGAACTTCCTCCTGCACGCTTAAGACCACCAGGACGTCGCAAGCATCGAGCATCCGTGTGGGTCGGCAGATCAGGAGGACATCCCGGATCTCACCAAAATCTTGGGAATGGGTATAGCTGGCGTGTTTCTCCCGCGGGAAGTCCCGCACCAGCCTCTGCCTTGCAAGATTTTCGCACTGGTGCGACTTGCTGAGTTGCCCAAAGAGAATGGTGCACAGCCGGAACAGGCCTGGGCAGGTTTTAGGAAGAGACCCAGCAGCCCATGGAGCCATGAAAAGAAGCCAGGTTTTTCTTTAACACTTCGAGCAGCCAGACGGTCTGCCGGTAGCCTTCATGCCTCTAATTGTTGGTTGGATGGGAATCAGGCCCCGTAAGTTAGGTGTTCAACAAAACTTGAGTACACTTGATCGATTCGAGACACCACACCACGCCCAAGATCGCACAAGGGCATCACCGGGCGCCAGGTGGTTCACAAGCACCAAGCCGCTCTCATTGGGGGCGGGGCCCAGTTCCTCAGAATCACCGTCAAATTGAGCACGAACCTCTGGTCGAACCAGGATGTTGGAGCTGTCGTTCGGGGGCTCTTCGATGGCGATACCTCCAGCATGCGAGGGCAGGGAAGGAGGCACAAATACATCTTCTTTTCGTTTGAGTTCTGGACTGCTGAACCCAAAACAAAAATAATTAATGGATGGTCAACAGGTCCTTCTTATCGGGGTCAGGCTGAAATACGAGAAAGAACACGCGGGTAAGGTTCAAGTCTTTGGTGAAATATATCGATGAACTGGGGGAGAAGAATTAGAAAAACACTAGTCGAGCACTTTGAGCTTCCATCCAACGTGATCTTGATCAGTCTTCCACCCCATGGGCAAAGGCAGTGGGACAATCTGTCGTGATGATCACTTGCAATCTCCCAGCCCTGCGACGACAGGAGGTGTGGCAAACGGTCGAACCACTCCTGTGCCGACACAGGGCGTGTCGCCATGACGGTCGCCCTGACTGCTCCAAAAACCCGACCTCCAGAGCCCAAAAGCGGAAAGAGCAGCGAAACCCAGGGCGCCAGGCGAATGTGCCGGAAGGGAAGCGCCAGGGCGCTCATCAAACAAACTATTCAAGGACCCCGAAGGGCTCCTTAAGTCTTCAACTGTTGGTCGAATCAGTGAACCGATTTTCCATCTTATCATTCGGCTATCATTCTCGTTTTTGTCATTCTTATCATTCTCTCTGAGCCTGTCTGGATGCAGCTCCTTGGCACGTTTTCTGTAGGCTTTCGTCAGCATCTCATTGCTCACAGGCAAGCTCTCCAAACCCAAGATGAACCTCCCAGGGCAGCTGCAGCCAGCAAGAGACACTGCAAACACACCCACTGGCTGGCGCAAGAGTTATGATAGCACGACTGCTTTAAGGCATAGCTGGTCAAGCAGGTGGTGCCATCACAACGCTTTTCGCTCGCGACACCTCTCCCTCGCTCCATTCACGCTCTTCCTCGGTCCGGGGCGGCGACGCTCGAAGCTTCCATGGCCCGCCCCGCCTGCAGCGATCCAAGAATTCCGTCTCTTGAAGAAGTCTCAGTTCTTCACCTGTAGCGTAGCGCAGCGAAGAGCGTGAAAGAACCGAAGCGTTATGGTCGGTCTACCGCTTCTTCGCGTGGAACAAAGCCGTAAAATCTGCGCAAAAGAGCTGGCAGAACGGCCAAAAAAATAAACTAAGAACTAAATAAAACGTCCTGTCTCTCGTGTTCGCTCACTGGTCTGCTCTTCTTTGGGGATGTGAAACCTTTACACACCCACTGTCACAACGGCTATGCCCATCATTGTTCTGTTGCTTCATAAACAAGACAAAAGAATAAGGAAGGAGGAGGAGGAGGAGAGAAAAATAATGCAAAGACCGGATTAATAAACCCCCCCCCACATGGTAGGTCAACAAGGTCAAGATGATATGAGATACCACTCATGAGGTCCACTCCCCCTGAATAATGTGCTATGAGACCATTGGACCATGAAGGTTTGAGAGGGGATGAGCTGATGAGCATGAGGCCAGAGAGGAATTGGCTGGTAACATTTGGGCTCAGAATGGGTATGAGCTGGTGAGCAGGTGAGGTAGTCTCATAAGCCACCATGGGGGTTCTTCTCCACAATGCCTTTTGGGCATTGGCTGATGAAGATGAGGCACCTTGGCTTGAGATGAGCAGCATGAGGTGAGAGTGGCTGAATGAGCAGCATGAGGTGAGACTTGCTGAATGAGCAGCATGAGTTGAGAGTATAATGTCAAGTCAGGATAAAGAAACCTCCACTAGTTAATCCCTTAGTAAAAGTTTTTTTTTGGATTGTGTAGACTCGGATTAACTGGGGGGGATTGTTGGTAGTAAACTAGACCATAGGGGTGGAAATCAACAGCCAATAATACTTTTAATTTGGGCAATTTCCGGCGGCTTTGTGGGCTCGGGTTAACTGGGGGGGATTTATTAATCCTGACTTTTCATTAGCCACTTCATAGACACCGCTTGCTTCAAAAGTCTCCATTCCCAACCTCAACTCGTACCAGTCAAGTAACGAAGCTTGTGCAAGGACTTCAGGTATATCCACAGCTGATCTTGTTTGTCTTCGTTGTCAAACCCACTGGCTAGGTGAGCTTCTCCTGTAGTGGAGGTGAACCCAGAAGCCGTATATGCAACTCCACGTGTGGCTATGAATCCGAAACCCAAAAAGTGCCAAGCAAAAAACATGCCGTGATTTGGATGCTTGGCTTTTCCCCCACCACATCATGACACGCTTTGAGAGCACGGCTGGCAGCGGAATTGGAGGCTTTGCCGTGGGACTTTTGAATCTCAACGAGCTTCAGCAGATCGTGGTCTGTAAGCTCACCTCAGTCGGGTGGCGGCTCTGCGGGGCTCCGCGGCTTCGCCCGGGCGTTTTGAAGTCAACGACCCGTGACCAGTTTCCTGGTCCAAGCAGTCTCCACCGGAAGCCGCAGAATCGGGGGCAGAAGCGTCCTGGCTCCAAGCGCCACCCAAGGCACTCAGCACTGGGGAGGCCAGTTCCTCCAAACGAGATGGTCCACCTTTCAGGGACGCAGCTCTCAGGATCTCCAGCTTGATGGCAGCATCCAGCAGCCTGGGCAACTGGAAGCTTTCCAGCCCACAACGAGGCGACAGCACTTGTCCACCCGAACACTTTCGGAAAGGAAAGACCAAGACGAAGACTGCAAAAGGATGCGAGTTTCCAGCATCTCACTCGCGTCCGAGCGTCGTTCGCTGATTCCCGGACGATGCCGGGTGTGCCTTCGCCGGAAGCAAGTTGAGAACAGCTCAAAGAGGATTGAGCTGAGAGCTTTGCTTGGCCTATATATTGTTAACAGGATGTCTTCAAAAAAACACTGTGCCGCGTATGCTCGTTCGTGTGCCTTCAGTTGCAGGCGTCTGTAGGCCAGCGACAGGACCAGTGGTTGGTGGCCACCCACCAACAAGATGGACGCATCCTGCTGGAACAGCTTGGAGCAGGTTTCATAACATTTGTGAAGCATAGCATAACAAAGCTTTGGCGCTACCAACAAGGCTTTCAACAAGCTGCTCCCACTGTGCAAGCGAAACGTCCTCGTTGGGGAGTCCTTGGCATGACACAAGATTGGGGTCCTTGAAGGAAGCACTCCTGAATAAATCTGAATAATACATCAGGACTAATTGGAACTTTGATCAGACGGCATGGGAACCGGAGGCAGTGACACTTCCACCCTCACTCGTGTAGTTGGTAGCCAAGGCACCCTGATGAAACCACTTAAATGCATCCGCAACAGCCTGGCCAGGACTCACAACTGAATAGCAAAATTAGGCCAAATCCAGCCTCTGGACTGCATGTGAAGCTGGGCCGACACAACAAATGACAAGAAAAAGTGAGACACCAGAGGCCAAACCCGACCAACCTATGTCGGATTGGTTTAACTCTCTCCCTCTAACTGAGGGCATTCATTTTTCAGCAGAGTGAGGCGAAACTGAATCGAATCGAATCGGATGACTCCGCAGACCTTCTCCGGCGAGATGGGCGCGGAGCATGGCAGAAAAGCGGCCAGGGGGCTCGTCGTGCCCTTAGGGTGAGCTATCTAAGATTCACCGTGCATCTTCTACCTGTACAAGAAGGATTTTGACAACTGAACTATCTAGAAAAACGGACCTATCAACAGCTCTGCACTCTGCTTGGCTTAGCGGCTTAGCACTCGACTCCGTCGACTCCTGGCCGCTTGCAGCCATGACACTGGCAAGGTCGCAAGGCCACCGGCCAGCGCCCCCAAATTCCAAGGTTTCGCCGTCAGTAGCATGTGGTCCACCAGCGCCTGACGTGCCTCACGGCAGTGGGCGGCGTAAGCAGACATTCCGTCACTCACCAAGGTCACTGAAAATGCACCATAAAATGCAGTTCTTGAAGCTTTGATCACTTGATCACTTGAAAGACCTTGAAAGATGCACCCGCAGAACTGTAATCTCTAGGCAGTCATCCCAAGAAGTTCACAGCCTGCACAGGTAGTTTTTTTAGCTCTCCTCAGCCCCCGCTGGCATGCCTGGCTATTGATATCAGAGTCATCAATCCAAGGAGTGCCATCATCAAGACATTCGTAGGGTTTGGCCCTCCTCAGAAGCTGCTAGTACAGAGCCGACGGACCGACGGACTTGCAGTGCTGGCATTTGCGGTTGGAATCCGACGATGCGACCGAGTCTAAGGGCATGGTTCTTTTTTTTTGGGCGACAGTCGATACAAAGGAAAGTGGAGGGCCGGACCTGCATGTTGAAGTCGCCCCGTGCCCTTCGCTCACAACCTAAACCATCTGCAGACTGCGCCAAGCGTCCGTTTTCGCACCGACGTGCCCGCACGTTGAATGCCATCCACAATGCGGGCCCAGCACAGCGGCCAGGAGATTCGACCCTGCACAGGTGATGCGAACCTTTCGGATCCTTGCTAAACCTATGCGTCGCAGGTTTAGCGCTTTTAGCTACCGATCATCAGGATCTCTGCAGGAAAAATAACTGCTCACTCTGACTGAAGAAACGATCACCGTGCCTCCAGCCACTGGCCGACAGCGGTCGCATCCAGCCCAGACTCAGGTAGAGTAAAGGCCCAGCTCGCCGGGAGCATCCGAAGGTCCCCTGAGAACTCCAAACCAAGGAGTTGAGCTGGTTCTGATGTTCCAATCTCAGCTTAACCCATTTGGCGACACCAAAAGCCCACCACGCATGAGTCGCATGAGTCATGCTCTTGATCACCAAGCTTGCCATAAGCAGAGAAGAGCATGCATGGCCGTGCCTTGCTGAAAGGAGGTCCGTGCTGGCTGAAGAGCACGCCCATCACACTGGAGGTAGCCTGGAGGGAACGGAACGGCCACGCAGAAAGAATCATGTTCGGTCTTTGGGCGATGAAGGGCGGCAAAGGGAGATTCGGAACGATGCAGCAGGGTACAAACCACCACTGCGAGCAGCGAGGCCAGCGGCATCCTGTTGTTGACCACGGGGCTGATCAAAGTGCCAGTGACATCTCAACATGTAACATACAAATTGATAGAAGACTGGGCCCATCGGATTCTAATATAGCATATATAAATAGTATACAACTTGCACAGGCCCACCTAGCAGCTCTTTGTTCCAGACCGGCACCACGACAGCCGACCTGAAGGAGTGACTTCAAATTGGTTTGAAGCGGCACCAGAATGAGTGACTGCTGGCGACATCTACGTCCACCCAGGCTCTGACTGCTCGTTGGGATCATCTGCTTCAGTCTTGCCTTGTAGTGAAGGTTCCCCTCCCTGTTCGGCATGCTTGGCGGTTCCTGCCGAATGTGATGCACACAACACAGACTGATCACAGCACAGGCTAAGCATCGCCTGCAGCCGAGCGTGTCGAGCACTGTTCCTCCGTTGCGTTCGGAGCATCTTTGAAGGTGACCTTTGCTGCCTTCGATGCAACACCTGTGTCGCGGAGAGCTGTAGCCTTCACTGGGGATGGAGCACCTCTGGTGATGGCATCCACAATTGCAGCGCTCTTCGGCTGTGCCACAGGCACTGCTACAGCCGGAGAAGTGGCTTGGCTTGCGGGTTCTGATGCGGCTTCGGCAACTGCGGGGCTCTTCGGCTGTGCCAGAGGCAGTGCCACAGCCGGAGAAGTGGCTGGTTGTGATGCGGCTTCGGCAACTGCAGGGCTCTTCGGCTGTGCCAGAGGCACTGCCACAGCCGGAGAAGTGGCTGGTTGTGATGCGGCTTCGGCAACTGCAGGGCTCTTCGGCAGTGCCAGAGGCAGTGCCACAGCCGGAGAAGTGGCTGGTTGTGATGCGGCTTCAGCAACTGCAGGGCTCTTCGGCTGTGCCAGGGGCACTGCCACAGCCGGAGAAGCGGCTGGTTGTGATGCGGCTTCGGCAACTGCGGGGCTTTTCGGCTGTGCTAGGGGCACTGCCACAGCTGGAGAAGCATCTTGACTTGTAGGTTGTGATGGGGCTTTGGCAACTGCAGGACTTTTCGGCTGTGCAGCGGGTACAGTCATAGCAGGCTGCGCGGAAGGGCTGGCCACAGCTGCAGAAGTATCTAAACTTTTTGGTTGGACTTCCAACGTGGCTTGCATCTGGACAGGCTGCGGCTTCACTTGCGGGGCTGCTTTGGCCTCCGGCACTTCACCAGGCTCCTCTCGCCCGAAGCGGGGGCTCTGCATCGTCGGTTTCGGCTCTGCCTCCTCGGGGGTCTCCTCTGGAGGTGCCTCCGGCGGCTCAGGGGGCGCCTCAGGCGGCTCGGGGATACCATCTTTGCCCAAGGCGCCGGGAGCCGAGCTCCGCAACGGACGCCCAAAGCGCCCCAGGCGCGAGCCCAGACGCTCCGTGCGCGGAACGTCTTCGCGCGCTGCTTCTTGAGGCGCTGCTCCGGTAGAAGCAGAGAGCGGTGGAGGCACAGGACGGTTGGCTTCTGTGGGAGCAGGGCCTTTAGAGCCTGGAGTTGGAGAAGCGTGAATAGGAGCCTCTGCCTCACGAGTTTCAGCCCCAAGCTCGGAAGCTTCGGCCGCCTCAACTGGAGCCTCGGTTTCTGGGGGGTCTGCCACTTGGAGGTCAGCTTGGGCCATCAGCTTGGCTGTCAGCTCTGGCTCATGAGGTTCAGCTTTGGCCTTGGCCGCCGCCTTGGCCTTCACGGGCGAACGTTCCTTGAAGAGTTCGGACCTTGGACGCACACTTGTCATGTCCAAGGCATCATGTGCATTAAATTGAATTAGAATTAAACTTAATTACTAGCTTCTTGTTACTAGTAAGGCCCTTGTTCCTAGTAGCGATGCACTTGTTTCTAATAGCTTATTGTTCCTAATAGCTTCTTGCTCCTAGCAGTAAGGCACTTGTTACTACAACATTCTCAGCTATTCTCAGCTTCCAGCCTAGGCTTTTGGCCACTGCTGCTGCTCTCTCTGGTCTTCCGCTGTGGAGTCTGGGCACGTCGGCGGCCTTAGGCCAATGTTGGGCGAAGAGGAATACTGCCCAACAGCAGCATGCGACTAGTCACCAGCTAGTTGTACAAATGTATCTCCAGGTTCGCTATTAGGTTGGAGGCCGCCGCTAGTAGGTTGAAGATGGTTGAAGGCCATCGCTGTGGCAACAAAAGTTCTTACTTCAGGTGTCCTGTCAAGTGGCTCCCAGTTCGCCCCCGCCCCCGCGCTCCACTCTCATTCAGCAAGGGCCGGCCACGCCACTCCTTGCCCACCTCCAAATCGACTTCCGCCTTGGTGCTCTCTTCATCTCTCACCAGGATCTTCAGGAGGGAAACAGCATGGGAATTGAGAAAAGGAATCTGATAAGACAACCATTCCAAATTGATCAGCTGATGATTGAATTCACCTCCCCACCAGGACAAAGCACCAGATCTGGGCAGCGACATTTCCAGCTTCCTTCCTCCAAGTCGACTTCCCAGGCCTGTGAAGCAATTTTCCGACCGAAAGGATTATGAATTACCAGAACTGGCGGTGTGAATAAGGTTGAAGCGCGCAGTTTGCCTGAAAGACGCTTGTTACTGAGTCTTGCTCCGATCTTTGGTCGTGTTGTTTTCCACACAGTATGAACAAAAAAGATTTGTGCACCTTTTGAGCTCTACGGTGCCATGCTAAACTATCGCGTTCACCTTAGCTCTGTCTCTTGCAGACTCCAGGTTCGCCTCAGATGCAGGTCCAGCTGCCCCAGAGCGGACCTGGGAACGGAAGGCCGCGGCTGCTGCTGCAGCCCAGCTGAAGGTGATTTGCACGGCACGGTAGGGGCCGCTGTGCTCCATGGAAACATGCAGCAGATCCTGGCCTTGAAATCTACTAGTACGGCATTTCACAGAAGAAAACAGCCTCAGGTGATATGATTCGACTCGTTCATGGCTTGTGATGATCTCCGATTTTGTGGAAACCAAGGGTGCCTAGTGTCGTGCAAATCCATTCCAGCACTTCATGCTCCAAATACTACTGCAAATCCATTCCAGCAGGTCAAAAAACAATTCCCCGCAGGGTTGAGCCATGTTCGTCTCTGAACGCATGGCTCTGGCCACATCTTCGTCTGACCCTAGTCCATTAAATCGCAGTGGCGCAGCCAGTTACACTTTTTCCTGTGGTTTGAGTGAACTCGCCCCTGTGAAACATCGCTGGCCATTGCTGGCACGTCAAGGTGGCTTGGACATTGATCAAAGCCAGAAATGACCTCAAACAAACGACTTGGTACGCTCACAATATATGTACAGCAGGCAGAATCACCGGACAATGGCATGGATCACCTAGGCTGCTTCTCCACCACGAAAGCATGATAGCCCATCCCCTGCCATTTGCTGCATCAAGCAAGCGTGCCAAAGTACAATTACAATACAATACAAGCATCACAAGTGGAGATGTATGTGCGAAATGCTGCACAGTGCCTGTCGAGGGAAGCGGGCCTTAACAGTTTCTCCTACCACGTCCTCAGCTAGCGTTGCCGGAGCAGAAGGCCAAAACAAACCTGCGACGGGCGGTGTTCCAATCAGCTGAGCTCGGTGCGATGTGATTTCCCGTATGCGCCCGGAGAAAGATGGTGTCACCGACGGCCTCATGGTTGAAAAACTGGTGACAGCTTGTGATCTTTGGTCCGCGAACGGAGCACTCAGGGCCTCACAATTGGCTGGGACATCGCGCCATTCCGTTCGATCACAAGTTCTTGCCTTGGACCCATATGGGATGATAAGGCGGTGACCTCAGACACACATCTTCAGACATGCTGGACCCATGTCTGTTCGTGTGCTACACTCACTGAAGGCAGGGACTTCGGAACCGTTCACTTCCAAGCGGAACCCATTCGTGTTGGTGAGAAATATCCTCCACATTATCAGCATTCCATCTTGGGTACACCAAATCCAACCACACAAGCAAGGCCTGTCTCCATGGTAGATGTCCCCGATGGAACGTTTTTCCACTCGGAAGGCTTCTGCGGAAGCCTCCACATCAGCTTCTGATTGCAGCCCCATTGGGCCGCATGCTGAATGCCAACCAGGCAAAAAGAACTGGTGTATGGATGCTAAAGCGTTCCCTGTATGAGTTTACGTGACCACTTCCTCCAGGTGTCAGCAGTCTCAAGGGTCTCACCTGACCAATCCTGACCAAAGAGGTCTTCCAGGCGCCCAGCTTGTGTGAAGTTTTGAAGTGGAAAACCCCACCCCCCAGTTTGGACCATGCCATCCACTTCCATGTGATGTGTTTGGACCCGAAGTCCTGTAACACAGGATGTCCTCATTCAGGGTCGCAGTGGCTCGCCTTGGGTGATGCTTTGGCATTCACCTTGAAGTCGCGCACCTCGGGCGAGGCAACGTTTTTGAGTGGCGCATGCCCGGGTTCAGGCTGTTCAGGCTGTGAAGGGATTCCAAATGATGCGGTGCAAGTACAACGAACACTTTTCGAAGAGCAGGGTCGCGGACCAAATTCAAACACGGTCTCCAGTTGCAAAATGAAACGACAGCTCTGTGACAGCAAAGTTTTTGGGCCCGAGCTCCCAAAAAGTTTCCATTGTACGCCCTGAGGTCCAGCAAGCAACAAGGGTGATCACTTCGCATGCTACGTCACACTCCACGCTGAATGACACGCGCCTCAAGAATATCGTGTCACCAGGTTTGACTACTGGATGCAATGATGCAGGGCCCGCGTTGGCCATCGCACCACCTACATCCACCACACCGATCTGCCACAAACTCGCTGGAGCTACATCTTCAGTTGTCACCTGGACCGCCCCATGTGCGCCACTCGCGGGCAGCAAGGACCTGCAACAAACGCGGGCGAAGTTCATCCAACAGGCAACGCAAGCAACGCAGCCTTGCCTCTGGGGTCACTTCTGCTGCACAATTTGGCCACAGCACCAAAACAAACAGCAAAGCCATGCTCACAATGCTAGCATCGAATCTTTCACCTAAATGTGGTGCACCTGGGACAGTCTTGATAAGAACAATCGTTCCGTCACCCCATGTTTTCTTTATGACTCATGACCGAAAGTTGTCTCCGGGCGGGCTGCATTGCTGTGTGCAGGAGTTAGGTGGGAACAGTGGGATTTTTATGTTTCGCTGCCACATGCACCCTCTACTTGCATGCCAATGCCGCGCGTCAATTTACTCTGTGCAAGCACCAAAAATGCTGCGCGGGACAACCCATGCTGCTAGCAAGCACACACTAAACCTCACACCTCCTCGACTCGTTGACGACATGTTGCAACAAGAACGTTGTACTTCAAAACAATAATCAAAATGGTACCGGCTGCCTCGAAGTTAGTTGGGTCTTGGCCGCATCCTTCCCCCCGAAGGTTTATATACATTGTCATTTTTGGGTTGCACAACAGATGCTGACGGAGAGAGAGTTCCACATCTTCTCCAAACAGAACCCGTCGCTACAAAACTGCCGATACAAAGGCGTCTTTGGCAGCACACCGTGCATTCCTACGCTGCGTGGGCTGGCATCCTGAACCTTCGCAGTACAGTTAATGTTTGGAAATGGTTGGGAAAATTTTGCATGGTCGAAGGAGACGATCCCAACAAAGGATGTTTCCCTCACCGGCTGGCATGGAGATGCACTAGGAGATGGGCCACGAGAATGGAGACAACACAAAGGCCAAAAGCGTCGGCGGCACCACGGGGCTCAAGTGAGCTCATTGGAGCGGACCATGTGGCCCCATGTGGCACCCGATTCTCCCGGCCAAAAGGTGTCGTTCACGAGGCTCAGCTTCACCCGTACAAGCGCCATGGTGGCAATCATGTTTGTCACAGGCTAAGGCGCAGTTGTTGGCTCCAGAATCTGCGTCGTTCGCGCACACCATGCCCATGGACTCATTCAGTTCATTCCGACTTGCGCTGTCCAAGTAGCGGCCCCACCCAACGTAGGGTGATAAAGTAAAAATAATTGCACACCATCAAGGTATACGACGAGGATCAAAAAAAAACACGCGACAAAAGAAACCTAGTGAGCCACGACAAAACAACAAAATTAAAGAAAAGGCAACAACAGCACGGCGGTGAATAAAGTCATGCGCGTGTGTGCACTATTTTTTTGGTGCGATGGGTGGACATTTAAGAAATCGGTCGTGGCAGGCCCAGTGCATTGGCCAAAAGCGCGTTGATTTCGCGCAACCAAACCCACCACACGCTGAAGGCACCACAACAAAGAACATCACCATCGAAAACTACACACTCTACTGACTCATCAATAATAGGCACTCCGAAAGTCATGCCAACACCAAGTCAACCGGCAGGAGGCCAAACTTCAAAGGAACCAAAGGAGGACGGGACCAATGGACGCAGGCACCGGGGACCTACTCAGGATTACTCGATCCTGGTGGCAATTCTTTTCTTAGCCTGCTGCTCTTTTGCGAAGCAAAGAACGTGTCTTTTCACACGGACTCGAGCCTTGATGTTCAGTACACTTCTCGATTTGTGCGTGCTAGGCATGGGTGACTGACATGTCTCGTGATTCTGACACACTTACAAAGTTCGATCGCATCTGCCCTTCTAAAGAAAGGGCTGTGCTCTGCATAGTCCTGTAATTGAGGCTTCGCCTCATCAGCTTCAAGCTGTGTCGTGAGGTGGCTTGGGTTTCTTCTAAAGCCATGTCCCTTTGATCCCTCTTTGCTCGTTTCCTCCAGTTCCTCGATGTATGTTTCAAGCTGGAAGATCTTGTCCTGCCACATAGCCCCAAACCATGAAGATCACGTTCTTGATCACCATGCGCTGCAGCCACTCTGCCACCCTTGATCTTCGTCCATCTCGGTTCCTTCACTGATCTTGCTGCCTGCGGCCTGGACCATTGCGGCCATCATCAGCAGCAATCCAATGTGAAGATTTGTGTTCTTCATCACCTTCTTCAATCCTTTCTTCATCTGCTCTCTGTTCAATCTCTCTGTACTCCTCCTTGCCAACTCTGTCGCCACCATGCTGCACCATCTTCAGCATGTAGAGGAATCCCATCATGCGCTTCTTCGTCAGGGCTTTTGCGCCCAAGTCTGCGCAGTTGAGCTCAGCTGGGATACGTCCAATGCTCAGGGTGTTTTCCTTCTTCTTTTGTTGCACCCAGAGCAAGGAAGCGTCCAAGTGGCGAACTCGACCAATCCCTTGTTGCTGCACCATTGACCTTGCAGCTGAGCTGTCTGAACGCAGTTTCATCTCACATTTCTCCTCAGTTATCTTCTCCCATAGGTGCTTGATGAGCAATCCATCTGAGGATACTGCAACGAACTCTGACTCCCCCGATTGTGAGGGATATTGCCTTTTGCGCCCTGACTCTTGGCTCCATGAGGTTCCCGTCGATGAACACTTGGAACGAAGTGGTGCTCTTGCAGCCGTTGCGATCTCCAGCATAGTCCGCAGCTGTTACCACCTCCAGGAGATGTTGTTCCTTGTCCTCAATGTCTTCGGGGTCCTTCACGTTCATGACTGATTGTCCTTTGGCCCTTGCTGACAGCCTGACTCCATAGCCCTCTGCGCCTTGCAAGTAAGAGCACACATGCCATGCTTTGTTCCAGGTTTGCTTCGTGGGGCGAGACATGAAGGGGGCTAAGTTCTGAACGGCGAACTGTGCATCAGGACTTCTGTATCTTGTCAGTTCGTCTCCTTGAAGTTCTTCACTTTTTTTTTTCTTCTCCCGCGGGCTGGCAGGATACGAGGGACCATCTTTGTGGTCGGGCCGGTGAGACGAGCACCGGTACGGGCGCGGCCTTAGAGGCGCGGTCCCAGGCGGCTGGGGCGCGCGCCCTCACCAGGGGGGACAACGAGGTCGCTGAGGAGCGGAGCCTCGCCGTCGACGTGCGCCCCGGACCCAGCAGGGAGGGTCAGGAGCGACGCCGAGAAGGCGCGCTGGGCCGCGAAGGCGAGGAGCCCGCACCAACGCCGCCCCCAGGCCGCCGCGACGAAGGGCCGGGAAGGCGGCGGGAAGGAGCGCGCCTTTGCGCGCGCCAGAAGGCGAACAAAGGTCTGGTCCCCTGGTCCCTTGGTCCCCTGGTCCCTTGGTACCTCTGGTCCCTTGGTCCTTTGGTCCCTTGGTCCTCTGGTCCCTTGGTCCTCTGGTCCCTTGGTCCTTTGGTCCTTTGGTCCTCTGGTCCTTTGGTGCTTCGTCCTGGTCTTCGGGCCCTTGGGCCTGCACTTTCGAGGCAAAACGCGTTCAACATGATTTGGAAATCTGGTCATAGACCTTGTGTGAGCAAAATTTAGAGGAGCAGTAGACCTTTCGCAAGGGCAACATTTACCGGAGCAGACCTGTTGTCAGCATAAACTTTAGAGGGGCCATTCCAACATAGCAGGCCTTTTATGAGCCATCCAAAGGCCTTGTGGTTTGTGAGCCACCGTGAAATTCAGAGAGGTGCAGAGAGGTTTGCATCTACAATGGTAGATCTAAAGGCCTGAAGTTCCAGACGGCTCTGCAGGCGTCGAGGTCTAGAAACCCACAGACCTCAAGATGGAGGCTCAGAGGTCTTGAGTCTTGAGATCCAGGGAGGTGCTGACATCCGTACAAAGTGCCGCTCCTGCCCCGAAACCTGCTACTGAAGGTGCTAAAAATGAGGTGCTAAAAATGCTGTGCTTGCCACGAAATCTGCACTTCCAATGCAAAAAAGGGCCGCTCCTGCCACGACACCTGCTATACTGGAGGTGCTCAAAGTGCTGCGCCTGTCACGAACTCTGCAGTTCCAGTGCGCAAAGTGCCGCGCCTGCCACGAAATCTGCTACTGGGGGTACTCCATGTGCTGCGCCTGCCACGAAATCTGCAGTTCCAGTGCACAAAGTGCTGCTCCTGCCACGAATTCTGCTACTGGAGATGCTCAAAGGGCTGCGCGTGCCGCGAAATCTGCACATCCAGATTAACATCGCGCAGCGCTGCCAAGGCGGTTTGCAGTCGCACGCCCAGCTCTTTGTGAAGATATTTCGTTTTTGATACAAATTGATGCTTTTGATGGGATATGGATTTTTTTGATGTATATCTATTTTCTTTTTGATAGCCCGGCCTTGACTCGGTGGGGTTGCAGGATTGCATACACGTCATCCAGGTAGGCACGCAGACCCTTATTGGGTGCGATCTCATTTTGTTCGCCATAAGCTCCAGGTCCACAAGAAAACCCTCGCTATGGTTTACTCCTGAAGTTGCAAGCGTTCTGCCATGAACTTATTGGCCTTCGTGACCCCCCACAAAAGTACAAACAAAACGTGCTTTTGCTGCAACAACATGGCCACCCCGCCCTCAAATGTTAACATGTCATCATGCGGACATGTCATCACAAGACTTCCCATGAAATGCTGACTTCCGGTCTTTGCTGAAAAATGTCAACATGTTGTTGTGTTGGTGTGCCGGCATATATGGCATGGTGTTAGCCTGGCAAGATGATATGTTGGGCACGCTAACATGTTGAAACGTTGCAAGGCTGAGATGCTTTGTTCGATCATTCTTTCTAACACACTGAAATGCCAGAAACAGTTCCGGAAAGGGTTTCTTGTCCGCTGCTCGTTGTGCACAGAGGTGGGCCACTTGATCTATGCCGCCATATTGCCGTGTTGTGATTCACACATGACACACAAAAACATTGCTGCCATTGCCCGGGCGGGGGCTCCTCTGGGGCCAGCTACTAGGAATCCAGGACGCAAGCACGAACGACTGACAACATCGTTTCTCGAAACGTCGCCAAAAACACGCTTCCAAACGAGGCGGTGCAAACGGGCCTCCACACGGTCTACGTATGGGCCGGGCATTTACTGAGCCCCATGCCATAGCGCCTGGAATTGGCCGAGGCGTGACCAACAACAAAAAAGTTGTCAAACCCTCTAATTTTGGCATCCCCAGTTTGGTGATGTGCTGCGAGGGGCGTGGGCATCCAACCGTCCGAAACCAAGGTGCAAATCAGAACTAGGGACTATCAAAGTGCATTGGCGGCCTTTGAAGGAGCAGCAGTCC